AGTGTTAGCTACTTGAGAACAAGGCTCTGATCATTTCTGCTTAATCTTTGCAACTCCGATTTCCTTCCCTCCTTTGGTAATCATTGCAAAAACTTAGAATTTCTTAATGCTATGTTTGGGAATGTGAATTTTATAGTGTGTATTTGAATTTTAACACTTTAAATTTAATATTATTGTTTGTTTTTACGTAATTAAATTTAAGCAAAATACATGTATTTTACTTATGTATTTAAAAGACTTAAAATCATTGTATTTCAAATTCATTCTTAAACTCATAAATTTCAAATTCAAACCTTGCATTCCCCGCATCACAACGGCAATGAAGCCTCCATTTTCATCGTCGACTTTGTTGAGACTTGAGCATCCCAGGCGAGCCAAACGGTTGAGAAATGGCCCCAGCCGTCCTTGCTTTGGACGACATAACGTCCATTATTGAAGGTGTCTCCGATTCTGACTGCGTGGTAACCACCGCGCCTGTAATTCTCTGTTCCCTCATCCTCCAATGTATAGTCGCCGCTCTCGCTCTCGCTCCCGCTCCACTCCACCTCTTGCTTGTCCGTCATTACTTCACACCAAAACTGGAGAGCCGATTACTGATCACCTCATCTGAGCTCTCCACTGGATCTCGTTCACGCGAAGCCAAACAAAGAAGATTCGAGATTTTGTTTCCTTGTGTGATGCAATTGAACCGTGAGGAGTTTTTTGGGATTCGTGTCATGCGGAAGTATGTTTTCCTAGTTACTAATGTGAAATTGTTTGGCTGTATCTATTTTTATTATTTTAATCATTATTTCCTAGTTTCTTACTTATTTTGCAATTGCCATAATGAATTTTTGCATGATGTACTGTTGTAGATTTAAATTTTTTTTGCCATAAATCCAAGTTTTTGTTAAATCTCTTTAGTTTCAATACCAATTGTCAAGGAGATTGAGCTTCCATTTAACATCTCAAATATATGTTTCCATTTAACATCTGCTCCACGTTTCTTTGGGTAGTTTTAGAAATTGTGTTTAACTTCTCATACGGTATATAGTATAATGATTGAGGAGTAGGTGTGGATGTTATTTTTATTTGGATATATCTCATATGTGTTTCTTGTCTAGTTAGTGGATTATGTGCGTATTCATGATAAATCCATCTTTACAAAAGTTGAATATTGTATGACAATGGAAAAGATGAACAAAAAATATCGAATATAAAGATAAATTGATTAATAGAGGTAATTTTTTTTATCTAATTTGTTTACCTTGAGGTAATTTAAATAATGCTTTAGAAAATTAAAATTGTTAACTTTAATTTTATTAAATTTAAATAATGATAAGAAAAATATTTAATTTAATAGGAAAAATTCAATTTTAAATACCTTGTATTTTAAAATATCCAAACAATAAATTTAAAAATACATGTATTTGAAAATCATTGTTTTTATTTCAATCCAAATAATGTATTTTAAAATATATGTATTTCAAATACATATATTTAAAATACACATTTTAAATACAAATATATATTCCTAGACACAACTTAAATCAATTCGATAATTAAAGATTTTACTCTTAGTTGATCAAGGAATTGAATTTTTTTTTCAGAAAATAGGGAAAAGTGCAATTGAAATTCTAGAAGTTAGTGTTCTCTATTAAATCTAACTTTATGGCTTTTTGAGATTTTTATATGAGATGAAAGTTTTTAGCTGGATATATATATATATATTAGTATTTCCTACCATTTTTTTCATAGATTTCACCATTAAAATTTTCATTTTTAATGAAGTTTAT